TTTTGAGTAGTTTAAAAATTGTGTACTTTTACTTTTACTTGAGTACATTTTAAGTGATGTATCGGTACTTTTACTCAACTATTTTCCTCCGTTTGTGGTCGTTACATGCTCATTTTAATTTTATTTTTATCCATCAACGTGAATGGATAGATAGTAATAGGTCTTGTGACTTCATCGTGACGTCAAATCAAATTGTGCATAGAAAACTTTAACCGCCAACTGTTTATCATGGCTGCTGGAAGCGCATTCTTCAAGTTACGCCTTCTTTCTTTGCGTGAACATTTGGGCGGCATTATGCAAATCTTCCCACATTAGTGAGGTAGATATGTGGGGGCGTGTTAGAACGAGCCATTTTAGGTAGGTGTGGCTGACTCTTAACTTTTATTAAGAATATCTCTTTGGATTTGAGACTTTAGTCTTTGCAACTTTACAGATCTTCTTTATGCACCAAGAGCTTGTAACTCTCCAAAGAGAAAGAAAAAATTGAAATCGCATCATATGACACCTTTAATGCTGGATGTCGTCTGCAAGGAACAGATGTTTTATGGTAATGCTATCCTTATTTGTTATTTATTAATACTCTTAACAGCCAAAACAACATTTGGAAGCCCTGATCATCAAGATCTGATGAATGCTGTCTATGATGGTTATTTACATACACTAATGTCTGGAAAAGGAAAAGAACAATTGAAAATGTCTGAAAAAGTCATTTGATGAAATCTTAAAAGTCATGGAAAATGTGCTCCAAAATATTTTAGCAGCTAAATATTCTCTTGTGTTCAGCAAAACTTGTTTGGCAACCAAATCGTTCTTTGATTATTTTCTGTTAATTGGTTAAATGGTTCACAAAATAGCCTGAATGATTTATCACAATGATTTTTGGAAATCCCACACTCTTAAAAATAAAGGTTCCAGAAGGTTTTTTTTTTTTTTTCACAGCAGTGCCATAAAAGAACCATTTTTGGTTCCCCAAAGAACCTTTAAGTGAAAGAACATTTTTTTTCCTTTCTTATGATAAACATATTAATGATCTAAAGAATCTTTTTCCACTATGAGCCTGTGCAATCAACAGTTTCATGTAACCATGGATGGATGCCAATAAAGAACCTTTATTTTTTAAAAAGTTGTGGAAATTCATTGGTCAAAAACAGGGAATCATGGAATTCTGTCATAAATATCTGGAGATATTTAATGTTCGAACTTCTCTTTTCTGGACTTATATGGACGGTAACTGTCAAGGTCCCCAGTACATATATATATATATATATATATATATATATATATATATATATATATATATGTTTGTGTGTGTGTACACTGTATATATAGTCTTTTTTTAGTTTTACAGTATAAAACACTGCACATTTTCATTGCATTAAAAAGAGCAGCTCAGAAACATCCTTTGTTTGGAACAACATGAGGATGAGTGAACAGTTCTGGCTGAAATATTCCATTGAGTTCCAACCATACAGAGATCAGCACTGAGCTGAAAGCTTTCCTGGAGCCTTCATTGTTCTGCATGTTTAATTATCCAGGCACTAGCTGTGTA